CTTAAGGGTTTTATATTATAAAACTACCATTTTAGGGTCTCAGTCACGATCACGTAACTTATATCAAGACGGGAAGCCCCATTTAGAATTCTGAAAATGTTTCAATGTCCTTCAAACACAAAACTTTTCAATGACGCTAAGACGCTGGCAGAATATAATTATTGTTCTCATATCATACACATTTTTTGCCTGCTTTGAAAATAAATCATCATCAGAGCCATCCTCTCCCCTGCTCCCACATCTTTCTAGGACATAAATCACAGAAAATGGAAAAATCCCTGTGTCTGTCCCTTGTTTTTCCAGCTGGAGGATGGCCGCAGGCGGAGATGAGCCACATGGCCCGGACCACTCAAGCTCAGACATGCCTAGAAGGAGCCTTCGCAGGAGGGGCCACAAAACAAGTTTGTCCCAAAGGGTTTTCAGGCATCTCTTCTTTCAATCCCACTAAAATTAATGTAAACCAGTGAGAATATTGTTTGTAAACAAAAGATACTATGTGTTGTTACAACACAAATATGACACTATGGGGGGATCATCAGAGTTACTATTTTTGAAAAAAAACCAACCTAAAAAGATGCAGAGTTCAGAAATCACTTTTTGTGGCACCGTCTTCAAAGTCAAAACATTTTTTTCTAAAAGAAAGATGTACACGCAGCCAGGAAATGTTTGTAAATATCAATGAGTGTTCCCACAACAATCATTTTATTAGGCATCTATTAGGGGAACAAAATACATTCAAAATATCATCAATCATTAATTTAAGTGGAGCAAGGGTACCCAAAATAGTGTGCAAACATGCTATCAGACTTTTAAAGGAGGCAGATGTTCAAAGTTATTGCTAGAATTCTATAAATAAAGCTATGCTTGACCTCAGAGCTAGGACTTACTATAAATAATTTCCAACAACTCTCTTGCATCGCGAGTCATTTTTCCCTGTGTTGCCCAGTTAATGTAGCAAATCTAACTTGTATCACGTCTTAGATGGGAATGACAACTCTCAAATCTGTGAAATCTGAAACGGGAGAGACAGCATTTTAATCAGTGGTTCTGCCGCAGGCTGTACGACAATAAACTCCAGCAAGCACACACTTTCCAAAAATATTCAGGGAGGAAGTAGGGACACAGGAAAGCCTACGTAATAACCAATTATCCAAAAGAGGAAGTGCAGTATTCCACATCTGCAAAATTTTGTGTACATAATTAACTCTTGGCAACCTGCTGAAGTTTTAATACATACATTTTAGTACATACACCTAAACTCATGCACGTGCATACCCTGATTTTTATCCACAAAGAATTTATTAAAAATATGAAAACCTGCCATTGCCACTTAAATTAAAATTTGGGAGCAGACTAGAGTATTCCTATTACCAGCTGCCGGTGACTCAATTTTCCCAGGCGTCGAAAGCTTAGATGGACAGAAGCGGCTCTCAATGCAGCTTTCAGTGCTCAGTTCACATAGCAGCTCCTCAAAGAAGACTTCCACAGCCTCCTCCCATATCCAGAGTTCACCTCTTCCCAGCTACAAGAAGTTTGGGTGCACGAGGCTTCCCTTTCACAATCTCTCTTAAATTGCAATTAAGCAATTAGTTGTATAAGTATATAAAAGTATATTCAAGTGCATAAGTGTATATCCTTAGTGGTTTCATATCAGTCTCCCCTGACCAGTATGTAAGCTCTATGAGGAAGGTTCCAGTCTTCCATTCCTTGAATCATGTAAACACTGAATACACACATGTTGAATAGATGAATTACAGTTAACTGCTTCATCCACCTTAATCAAGAGCTATTGCCGAGTAAGCCTGGAAGAATTAAGTATTTCTGAAAACTCTGCAGAAACAGTTTAGCTTTTATCCTTGGAACATCAGCGCCAGAACACTCTCTAAGGTGGCCCAGTCATGCCCTTGTTCTTTGCCAAACATTTAGAAATCAATGAGAACATTCCTCTAAACCCCAATCCTTTCTTTGTGCTAGCCAACTGGTTGAAGTTAAATTCACTTGGTATTAATTATGAATGCCCTTCATAGGGCCCAGGGAAACAACTTCTAACTAAAGTGATTTTCAGTAGGAGATAGAAAGTATAATAGAACGTAGACTAAAAGAAAACAAAAGAAAATTACCTAAAACAACCTTGGAACATTTGAACTGTAATAATGTAATGAGCATTTCGATCACATTTGCTATTTAGTGTTTTGTTTGGAGGACCTCTTGCAAATCTTTCCATCATCCATGAAATTTGTTCCTTGTCAGGATAATGGGAGGTGGCTTCACAGTGGCAGAAGGACAGAGCCTGGCACACCTGGGACAAAGTGTGGCTACTCCCTCAGCAGCAGGGGCTGGGGCTCTCTAATCCCGGGGACCACTATTAACAAGAATCCGTTTTTTCCTGTCTCTCAATGACTCATGCCACTACTGACCATCTATTCCAACCATGTACTTAACGTTTTATTTCAGGCTACTCTCTTTTCCCCATCTCATGGCTTTTTTATTCATCCTTTCTGCTTACTCACAGCTTACACTTACTCCTGACTTCCTTCTTGCTCTACAGCTTTCAGCTTTCAATAATACAATCAGTTAACCAACTTGCTCTATACTGTGAATTCAGGCTCTTCAGGGAGATTGGACAGCTTCAATCACCATCCTTCCTGTTGGGCAAAGTTCTTGAGCGGCCCCCGTCAAGGGCCTGGGCAGCCTATAGATCGGTCACCTTGATCCAGTCAGCTGTGACCACAGTGGTGAGACCCTGTGAGATAACACAAGTTAATTCGGGCCCCATGGCCTTGGATAGCAACCTTCTGGAAAAAGGCAGTAGGTATGGCTATCCTGGGTCAAGAACCAGAAACTAATTCGTTTAAAGAACAATCAAAGAACTAAATTTGGGATGCAGAAAAGTTCCTTATTTTCTCAAGTGGAATAACAGGAGTTCAGACTTTGTTCATTTCTCTATTTCAGTCTACTACTCCCTTTCATGTTTGCTACTCAAAAAAAAATTTTTAAAAAGTGAATGGGGCAAAGATCAAAATGCCGTGGTATAAACACAAAATTAGTAACTGGGTCCTTTGTTCTAACACTGACTTTTCACCCTTTAAATCCATTTTCTCATTCTATTTTTTATCAGAACTCTGCTGCTCCCAAATATAAATATAACAGACAAAGGCCTGAGAATTTTGCTTAGAACTGCAGAAAGCAGTTGAAGTTCACTCTTGGACCATATCCAGTTTTCTGCCATCACAAAACTCTTATTCAATCTCTCTGTGTAGGAGAAAGAAAAGAACAAAACTTTCCTTTTATCTACTTTTTAATTTATTATGTCTGAGTATTTTTGTAAAAAGTTATTTTGGTAGACTTCAGGAGGTCATATATGTCTCAGTTACCTATAAAAACTAACTTCACAAATTTTTAAGTTAAAATTATAAGCATAGTATTTTCTAAACCTAAATTATTTTAGTTCAGAAAAAAAATCTTGCCAAATTATTTATTTCTCTGTGGCTTGGGTTCCAAAGAGTAAATTTATTATCACAGAGGGAAAATATCTTGGAGGGAGAAAAAGATAGTAAATTCTTCAAACAAATAAATGAGCTGTTTTGTAATTGGAAATATCATCAGTATGTTTGATGATTAATATCATACTAATACTCATTTCATACTATTGGAATATGAAAAACAGAAAATTCAAGATAAGGAAGAAGTGTTTATTCTATGAGCAAGAATACTAAATGTGTCATCTGCAAAGATGATTAGTTTACAATTAGGAGAGCTTATGCGCCATCAAAGAGGAACCTTTACAAAATAATACAATAAGGCTAAGATCCTAGTCTCAATAGATTTATATATGGGTAAAAATAGGGACTAAGTCACTTTTTCCTACTAGGAAAATTACAAAAAAAGCAATTATGTTGTATGATAAATGAGCCATTCTTAGCGTGTACTCAATTTGTGCATTTTCTATTCTTTGCTCCAAGCTGTTTCTTTCATCTTACGAATACAAGAAAATTAAAATTGTACTATTGAGGACAGATGAGGAATTTAATCTTGAAAGAAGTGAACTACAATGATGTATTATCATAGTACTTTGATATAAAATCAGAAAGATACTGAGCTTGAAAAGGCATAATATTGTTAGCACTTAAAACTAACTGGGGAGGTTACTGGGGAGGAAGACACATTTTGATGTATTGGTGTGAAGACACACCAATGTAAGTGCATGGAAGCCAGCACACACCTTCAAAGCTATTTGATGTAAGTTGTCACGATAAATCTAATACCCAGGATATTATCAATGACCCACGCTCCAAGAAACCAAGGTGAGAACCAAGAAGAGAACCATTTTGTTATATCCTGCATTTATTTAAGCAAACTGAATGTGTAGAGATAGGAAATTAAAGCATTATAATGTTTTACAAATACAGAAAGAAGACACGGAATAATAATACCCTGAAGAGAGTGCATCTGAGAACGCAGTTCTATCATAGGAGAACACTTGCAGTGACCACATTGAAGCCATGGCCGGCATATCCATCTGTCATTCTTGTCCTGACATCGTTCAAGTAGTTTTAATAGATAAATCAGCGATTTTCTTTTAAACGAATAATAATATTAATGATTACGGTAGGCTTGAAGGGTTTGTGAGTGACTATACTATACATACATGATGCTAGGCTTAATGTGTTATTTCAATGCCGCTGTACATTATGCAGGGGGAAATAATGTCTTATTACACAATTACTGTGACATCCACTAAAATGTGAACTAGTTTGCATAGGTTAGTCCTTTGGGCAGCACGATGTTGCTCTAGTCCACCAAGGCTTAAAGATTCACAGTGTAGAGGAAAAAAACATGAATTAAAGCATTTCTACTAAAATATATTTTAATAGCTGGTGTTAACAATTTGCATAACAAAAGCCAAATTATATTAATAACATTGTATCATTCTGTAAGCCCTTTCATTTCAAAAACACTCAGTGTTTTCTTCAAAACCGTATGCTCTCAAAGTGAGTACAATCTTGCAAATTAATCATCAATCACAATTCTACAAATTTTGAAGCAAACAGAAGCCAAACTGCACAATGATTCAATTTTGCGTTTTTATCACAGGTCAAAGACCAACAGTTCCATACCATGCCTGTAACATCCTTGGTGCTGCTTCTAAAAGCTCAGCCATTCACTGTGTGGATACTGAAGAATGGGACTACGATACAGTTTTCTCTTTTCCTTTGAAGCAAATCATTCTTAATGGCAACTGGATTACAAAGACGTATACACTATGCAAACTGGATACCATATATCAAACACAAAAAGCATATGGAATTCCCATGAAGTAATATGGACAATTGGGGAGGAAATTTACCCTGGGGATCCCTTCCAGGCTTGTGGATTCCAGTAGTCTAAGCATCATGGAACAATGGCCACAGAAGAATGTCTTGATTTTTTTGATCATCAATAGTTAACAGTTAGTTGCCTGGAAAGGACCTTAATGGGCATGGATTATTTCAGAATGAGACTTTCATTTTAGCATTCTTAGTTTACATAGCTTCTTACTTAACCAAAGCTTTCTCAGCTCCATGTCACACTACCCAAAACAACCACACTGTAGCCACTTCTAGATTATCAGAAGCAAATAGCTAAGGTATCATGAATTTATGAAGTGAAATTCATCTTGTGTAATGAATTCAGCCTCATAAGATAATTCTTCTATTTTCCAACTGGTATTTTGAATCTCAAACCTAAAGTTAATGTTTATGCATCTGAACTCTATATAAATCCACCAAGAACCTTTCAGAAATAGATAGAAGAAGTCAGGTATTTTCTAAAGTTCTAAACCTTTAGAGGTAAAATACAAGCAGCTATCACCTTTCATATCTGTCAGGAGCATCTCACTTCCCCACCACAAAAATACCAATCATGTATAATAAAATATTACTATAGAATAGGCAGAAGCTTGCTTGCTTGGTTTTCCTTCCAAGACCACAATGGATAAACAGGGTAATCAAAAAGGCACCTACTTTTTTATATATCTATGTTATAATTTTGGTATAAACTATTTCCACTTTATATAGGGATGTGTTATTATATAGGGATGTGTTATTAAAGGATCACACACATTATCTTTTCATTTAAAACATTCCACTGGAGATGGATGAACCTGAAAAAGAGATGGGCCTCTTGAACTTCCACTATCTGTTTTAGAAAAGTCTGCTCCCCAGCTCCCAGAGGGTCATCCAACTCAACATGGAGAGGATAAAGGAAGAAAGACTGTGGTAAAATTGGCAGAACGGCATCTTCATCATCTTCAAGCAATGAACCTAGTGGCCAGAGAGAGGCTGGTCTAATCTCATGCATATTCATACAAGGTGCTCGTGGCAATTGTGCTTGCAAATTCCTGTGCAGTCTCTGGAGGTGGGGGGAGGCCTGAGAAGGCGAGGGTCTGCATGGACACCTGACAACCAGAGACATATTTCAAACTGGGCTACACCTCGGATGAGTAAACAATAACAAGAAGACAGGAAGAATTCGTTTTGCCACAGGTTAGAAATAGAAAGCTTTTCCGGAGAACAAGAATTAGTAAAAAACGTTTCCTACAAAAACTGACAACAAAAGCAACATATTCTGTTGCTATGCTTTTCTCAAGAGAGATGTGATCCACATCCAGTTTTGGTTTTGGAACCTTTTAAAAGCATAGCAAACTGCTCTTTGTGCTCTTATCAGGCTTGAGAACACATTGAATTTAGAAAGTCAGGTGCATGCTCTCTGTGCTTGGCCAGTCTTCTTTCACTTGATTTTTAAAAGACCTGTTTTTAAACCCTTCTTCAGCTGTCGCGTGAGATGCATCTCAGCGTTACTCATGAGATGCCTGTTACCAAAGTGAAGGAGGAAAGGGTGTGGGGAAAGGGGAAAAGTTGTTCGAGAACGTAGTTTTGAAAAACGATCCTGTAAAAACAGCACTGTGGTATCTTACATACCTGTTTCCTACATTTCTGCTGAGATGCTTAGTATCCTGACAGGCTTTAGTAACAAGGACAACACTATCAAGTTATAGCGTCAGGACATCTTGTTCTCCCTCAGTCTTGATTGTAAAACAACTGCCCTCTAGTTAAATGCTGATCGGATCTTAATTCGTAAAGGCTGGAAGCAGAAACATCTTGCTATGCAAACATTCTGTGAAGCTTAAAAGTTTAAGAGAATTATTCCCCAAATAAGTATTGACTTTTACATTCAATGAATCTGATTTTGAAATCAGTGGATGAAAAACACAATGCAAGATCAAGGTGCTACTTTATGGTAACTTTCCTGATTATAATCATTTCAAGTCAATTTCCTTTGAGCTTCCTATAAATGTGCTATTTATCAAAAATTGTACCTGTCCTACATTTTGTCTGCAAATTGAATCAACAACTACTCTTTTATAATCACAAAAAGTGGTCTGTCTGGGTGAAACATAAATATTTACTTAACAATATAATAAAATTGAGCAAGCTTATTGCCCTCAGTTTTAATGCACAAAAATTTTTGCAAGAATATTGCAAGTTCAGCTTCTTGTCTTTGTAGGTTTGTGTACAAGACATCAAAACAGATATGGGGTTTAATCAATTTAATAACAACTGGTCATTTCAACGATAGAAAATCAGTCAAGCTAGTTATGAGTCATCTGTAAAACCCCATCAAAAAAATCTCTAGTTATTTGCCTGAATTTTTCTCTTTTTTATTTTATGTCACTGTCATGTAGATGCAGCTTGAGTGTAATTTTAAAGCTTATTTACTCTTTTAGCCAGATAAGATGAAACTACAGATTTTCAAAAGTCTGTGCTAACTTTTCAAAGGTGTCAATGAATTCACATTTGCATTCGGACTAAGAAACATTTCAATAAAAGATATTTGATAGGATATTTTGTTAATTTCTTTGAATATATCATATCAAGTAGATATTCCTAGGACCCACACATTTTATTACATTGTTGTAACTTTGCTTTCTCTGTTTCATCACAACTATGGAGTCAGACCCTACATGAATGCTACCCTGTTGCAGGTCCCAGTAAATGGCACAATCAGAAAAACACAGAGTTGCTGATGGACGTTAATCTCTCAGGTGATCTTGACTGTGGACTCTAGGTGAAATTATGACCCGCCAGCAAAGGCCGCAGTCATGGCTGTGAATCCAGCAAGACACTGCAAGGTCACTCATTGAAAAATCAAAATGTGACAACAATCTCTTTTTTAGTGAACCTGTACCTAAACTCTCTGATGACATTCCTATCTCACCCCCTCAATGTGATTTAGAAAATAAAAATCGGAAAGTGGAAAGGAAATCTCTTCATTAACCAGTTTCAGTGGCTAAATTTCCATTCCAGAATTTGAAAACTATTTTTCAAAAGAAGAAACCAGATCATCTCTCTCTTTGTGGAGCTGGTAACTTCTTGTCTGCTGGTTTTTTCCAGCACACTTCATATTCCACGTTGTCACTGGCTCCTGTGAATTTTTCTTAACTTTTAAATCAACAGCGGCATTAAGTTAATGAAAGCTGTTCAATAAACACCTAAATCACTTATTGACTAGAGTATACGTCTATTTCCTAAGGTGTAAATCCTTCAGAACTAGAGTGCAATGCAGCAAGAGAATCTCAAGCAACTGTTCAAAATATGTTTTTCTGATGAGCTGGCAACTAGAGGAAAGGGCTTTAAATATCAGCCACACTTTTTGCTTTAATTACAGGAATGGGCAGTGCAGCTGCCTACATTACAGAAGCTTGAACCTACATGACATGCAACAGGGTAAAGGTTATTGGGAAATACTATAGATGACCTTAAGATTTGCCCTTTGCAGAGTAGCTATGAAGTTATTTGGTCCTGACATTCTGTGCAGCCAAGCACATACTTGGGTCCACAGAATGTAAATGGAGAGTAGGGTATGCCTTGGTACAAATGAGAAATAAATAGACCCAAGTCGGCCGAGGGAACGAGGAAATTTCTTTGTTCGGTAGAAGTTTCTAGGTCCCTAAGGCCAGTCAATATAATTTTAACCACACTGTCATTCTGCCACTGCTTACATCTATTGTATTAGGCAATTTTCACTTGAATTGGAAATTGCCTGATGACTCAGAAGCTAAATGGTTTTGAATTATTGGCTGTGTTACTGAATTAAGAGAATTGGCTTCTGGTGATTCCAAAGTGACAGCTAAGAAGTTTCATATACTTGTTACATTTAAGGGACAATCAACACCTCTAGCAAAGTCTACAAAAATACATTTCCCAGAAGGGTTCAGTAGCCAATCAAAGGAAACCATTCGCACAATTAGCAGCACCAGGTCTCCAGACCTAATTATTTTGTTTACAGGAATTACTGAAAATGCTGCTGTTTTCAGCCCAGAAGTCATTCCTTCTTCCTGGTACCTGTGTGTCTAATTGTCAAAGGAAGGATAGATTATTGTAAAATAACTGCCAAGTTGTCTTAAAAGTATCTCCTATCTTTTAAAAAGATTAGGTTTAGTACACATTAGAAGAAAGCTCGAAGGGCAAGGAGAAATAATTAATTAACAAACTCAATGTAATTCGCGGGGAGCATCCCGGTTTTCCCAGTTCTCTGCACGGTGCCGTACATCCAGCCGTCGTCGATGGGCTGCACGTTGACAATGTAGTCGCCATCCCGAAAGGAGACTTCATCTTCATCCTGGGCACTGTAATCATACATGGCTCGGTAGGTCCTCTGAGAAAGGAAAGAAGGGATTACATGATGAATACTGAAATAGTCACAGCCACAAATGCCCATCAACAAACATACGCATAAAGTGACTATCAGGAATGTTTCCAAGATCTGCAAACCAGAGCCTAGTATCCTAATTGAGTTCATCTCGAGTTTACTAGTCTAGCAAAAAGTGCAATATTTGGGGGCCAGAATGGGGATAGAGAAAGCCACCAAATACAATAGCTAGCCTGTCAAAAAGTAAGCTTGAAGTAGTTAAGTCAACTCTCCCCAGCTTCAGATAACGCCAGAGACCTTAGGTTACACAGATTCTCCCCTATTCCTCATTCTTTAGTGAACAAGACCTGCCACAGTAGCAGACAGGTCCAAGTCACCACCAAGTCACTGCCACTGGTCCCCTGGCAGAGGCAATGAACTTTTCTTAAACAGGTACTAAGAATTTGTTTCCTCTTAAAAATATATAAAACAAATAAAAGAAAAAATCCATAGTATACTGATTTTATAGGTTTTTGTATCACAGCGGTAGAAATTTAGCATATCAATGTTCTGAATATTGAGGTACATATAACTAAATCTTTGTTATAATGAGGAAATTGTTTGCTACCTGACTTCAAACTATAGTACAAAGTTATAGTAATTGAAACAGTATGGTATTGGCATAAAAATAGACAAGTTAATGGAACAGAATAGAGGGAGCAGAAATAAACCCACACATATGCAGTCAATTAATTTACGACAATGGAGACAAGAATATAACATACAATGGGGAAAGGACAGTCTCTTCAATAAATGGTGCTGGGAAAACTGGACAGCCACATGCAAAAGAATGAAATTGGACCACTATATTACACTATACACAAAAATTAACTCAAAATGGATTAAAGGCTTGAACGTTAAGACCGGAAATCATAAAACTCCTAGAGGAAAACATAGGCAGTTAACTCCTTGACATTGGTCTTGGCGATGATTTTTTGGATTTGACACCAAAAGCAAAGGCAACAAAAGCAAAAACAAACAAGGGAACTAAATCAAATGAAAAAGCTTCTGTACAGCAAAGGTAATCATCAACAAAACGAAAAGGCAACCTACCGAAGGGGGAGAAAACATTTGCAAATCATATATTTGATAAGGGGTTAATATCCAAAATATAAATTGAGTTTTATTACATTTATTTTCATTTAAGGCCAAGAGTTTCGCTAATATTAACATCAGAAAATCTCAAAATCAAGTGAATTCATAAACTGAGGAAGCTGGCTGAAAGACAAAGAACTTTGGAGCAATTAAATATAACTTCCAAACTGCTTAGAATGGCCACCTGTTTCTAAGTGCTCAGTCAAAGGCCAAGGGACTGTGGCAGGAGCTTGGGGAAGCAACTTCAGCACAAGATGTCACATGTGACTAGATGACTTGGAACGCTGCTTCCAAACTTTACATTTAATGAATTAATTAGTACTCCAAGATTTCCAACAGGAGGATTCAAAGACATATGCTGCCCATGTCATTTAGGTTTTAGTTGCCATTTTGATTAATGTCAAGATTAACCAGTTAATATGACCAAATATCTGTGTTTTTCAGACCTGAATGAGACCAAAATTGGCTAATACCAATCAGGAAGTAACAATTAGGATATCCAACTAGTAGACTCTTTGTATGTTTTATCGTTTACATGTTTTCACATCACACCTTCCCTTCTCAACGGTTTACCTCTATACGTCTTTCGCTTCCTTCGAAAAGGCTGTAAAAAGAGCCGCACATCATTTATTCTTTACATGAAAGTATACAACGTTCAATGCAACTCTATCCCACACGTATTGATATCTCGGAGATGGAATGGAACACTTCAAATTGACACTTACTAGATTTGGTGAATGCTGCATTGACCTCATGGACGACAGGCTCGCTGGGTGCATGTACCCATAGCCTTGGGAATGGCTTTGCTGGTAGGCGCCAGGCAGAACAGGGGCTGCGGATTAAACACACACACACACACACACACAGATTCCTTAAAGCAAGTCTCAAAATACCCCTCCCAAGCCCTCAAGTGACTTCATGCTCTGCTAGAATCTTCTGAAACAAAACGCCATTTTTAGTGTCACGTGAAATTTGGGTAGTGATATTATAAGCAACCTCTAGATTAGCATAAATTTCAGTAATTAAGGACATCTTTAGAGAATCAGTTTAACATGCAGTTAAAATATATTAGAAATATTGGTACTATTCTATTGCAGATGCTTTGTTAAAACAACACAAATACAAAATGAAAATTTTTCATAATCCTTTAATAAAATCATGTTTTTACTTGGCCATGTGATCCTCTAAGGCATTTTCTAAAATACAAATAAGAATTTAAAAGGATTTAATTGGATTGTCAAACCAATGATAGAGTATAAATGTTTTCACTGTATACTTCTCATATGACAGGATGCTCTCAATATTTCAAGACATACAGCTGAATGTTACCTTTACAAAGATGGTGTACACAGCATATGTGTACCAACATATGTTTGTCTGGCAGTTAATAATAAGCCTATACCCTTAAAAGAAAACTTTACTTAGAATATTTGAATTCTCCATTTTATTTTGGCTGTAAGTCAAGACTCAATAAGCTGAATATGTTACAAAAGCCTGAGAAACCCAACCACTTAAACAATTTCATAAATATTATCCTTCTACATCAAAAAAAAAAATAGTATCAAAGCAGTATCCACTCATTTTGTGCTATTCTCACCACTGACTATGACATTCAAAGGACATAGTTCCTGTTCTGAAGAATATTGAATTCTAGAGAAATCAGCACAGAAGCTAGATAAAAACCCCACAGTCAGTAGACATATGCTTGAGTGTGTGTTTCTCTGAAGCATGTTTAAGTATTTGTAACCAGAAGCATGAGCTATAAATGAGGGTCTTTTAGTAGCATACCCTTCATTATGTTTTGAATAATTATATGATACATTAGTAAAACTTGTATGATATATGTGCTATAAAAATAGCATAATAGGTTGCCATTTTTGCTCAATCAGGTTGAGCATATAAAGTAATTATCATGGGGTGATTTATCCAGGAAAGTTTTTTATAATAAAAAAATAAAGCAGATGTAATTATTGGGTATTATGAATAATTAATATTTTATAAGTGGCACATTCACTCTAATGATATATGAGAACATCAAACTTTAAAGAAGTTTAATCATCAGAAAATTACAAATCATTAACGCGTTCTCTGAATGACAATGATATTAGGTTGAATGGGGGTTTTTTAATAGTTTTTGAATTAATTCATATTACAATGTTGTTACAAGTTGTGTTTATTTTTTGTCTAGACATGGATGGCACTGAAGAGAAACTGAGAAGATCTTTACTTGGATTGAAGTACACTACAAAGTTATTAAAACATTAAATACCCAATACTTCAGAAAATAGCACTTTTTAAAATAATTAACTCAATTTAAATATTTAGTGTCAAGAGGTGGCAAGGATATCGTCAAAATTTACTCATGAAGGAAAAAAATGAAATCCCCATAAATATCTAGGCCCACTTAATTAGCTGAGTAAAAGAGCCTTTTCCATGTGTTGGAAGCCGGAATCATTGACCATTCATTTATTCCCTTCCTTGACTCTCAGTAAATATTTATTAAGTGAGTTCATGTGTGCACAGGGCTTACTACATTGCCTGTCACTTAGTAAGGCTCCATAAATGTGAATAATTATCAGTGTCCACTATGTTCAAGGCATGCCAAGCATACAAGGAGTGACAACAACAATTGCCCCCTTAGAGCAGTGATGGTCCTGGATATCTGCTCTTTGTCCAACTGAAAAAATGGCTCTGGATACCTAGGGCCTTTCCAGTTAAATATATTAGTCAATGACTCTGTAGGGGAGGAAGAACTATTCCTTTACCTTCTAGCTCCTTCAGGCTGGTCTAAGAATTAAATTGACATGAGACAGAATAACAGAAGAAAATCAAAGTTAAATAACATGTATACATGGGAGAAACCCAGGATGTCTGAGTAACTCACCAAAATGGTGGAAGCCACCACCTTAAATGCCATCTTCAGCTAAGGATAAAGGAGGATGTTGGGGGTAGTGGTTTGGGACTTCAAAGAGGAGGAAGACTATTTACATGGCAAAGCAAATGTTTGATAAACAAATGTTGACCATGCCTTGCAAAGACAATGAGGGATGGAGAGGACTTTGACTGAAAGGCTCTTGTTAGGTTCCTCCCTGTCTACCACACCTAGTCTATATCATACTATAGTTATTTATGGTATTAGCTCCTTCCTGGGACAGGCCTTCTGTCTTCTATTCTTTTAGGCAGTTAGGGGGAAGGTCAAAGTTTCTTTCAGAGCCTTTTGTTCTTAAAAATAATCAAGCCAAAGAGATACACTTTGGGGTGACAAATTCTGATCCCCTACAACTCCAACTGCAAACCCCAGATTGGCTCTCCTAAGCTAGTTTTTATCCATTTAAACAAGTCATTTCTTCATTAATTATTATTTTAATCTATTTGTAAATACTAAAGATTAAGTAAATAACCCTACAAACTTAAAAGAAAAAATTAAACTTTTAATCCTTTGTTATACTATTTTACTGTGACCTTTAAATTTTGATGTACAGAGTTCAGCACAACCATCTTAAAATATTTGGGGAAAAAACTAACAGGAAAGAACAACAAAGAAAAAAATTTTAAATATGCTATCTCATAAGCCGTATTACGTTTATGTTTACATGGTTTGTACATCATAATGCCAGTTTAGTGCCCATCAGTACTGACAATTCAAGAATGTTGTTTAATAGTGTTCTTTAACTTTGGCTTTTAAAAATCAAGTATATTTATGCCTACTCGAACGCTCAAATCTGACCTTCAAAGGGAACCTGTAGCTATTGTCAAATACAGCAGGAAAAGAAAGTAATGTATTTGTCCTAAATATGCGTGGGTTTGAGAGAGCAGGAGAGAGAGTTTAGAATGAGAAACCTTGGAGTAAATATAATCTATTTCGTCCTTACGATTTCTCTTCATGGCTTTATTGATTACTTCCATTTCCCTCTCTGGCTGCGTTACTTAACGCAAGTTCCTTTGGGGTTATCAAACCTTGTTATCTACTTTATACCTGGTACAATAAACAGAGGTTTAAGGAAGCTCCTATTAAAGCTACAAAAAAACATAACTGAGAGCCCAGAGGAATCAACTCACTAAAAGCAAATGCCAATTTAAAAAGAGGCACAGACATCACTTTTTTATTGTTTTGCTACACGAATGCATTTTATGAAACACATGTAAAACAAGCAAGAAGAAATTTAAAGCAATGGCTTTGGAAATTGGGTTTATTAAGAATTCGGTTGTAAGATAGTTATTCCGTGTTGAATTTGAGATTTATTCCATGAAAATATGGAATTCAAAGGGTTTTGCAAAAGCAAGGTGTTAGGCTAATTTTGCAACAAACAAGGACTTCTTATGAGAGAGTAAAACACACAGTGCCCTCTTTATTAAACTAGTGGTCAGGTCCCACCAGCACTGGTACAGATGGATGATGATAAAAGTACGATGGTCTCCCAACCCAAGAGTCTTGAGTTTGAGGGTTTTTTATTTCAATAACACAAAAGTCATAAAACAATAGCTTTCGTTACCCTAAGACAACACCAAAACACAGAGTGTGACTCAACTTTCATCTCACATTGGTAAGATTATTGACCAGAGATCTGGAAACTGACTAAAGCTCTCAGGCGTTCAGGATCTATTCGGAATGTCCTATAGTATTTATAAAACCAAAATATCCATTTGCACACAAAAAATTTCTTCCACAAACAGCTAATACTAATATTTTCTATTTAATGTTTATTCTTACGATGGAAGGAGATAAAACTAAGATGAAGAAGTAAGCAGACATGAAGATCACAAAACAGAATATGAAAATAGAGGAAGAAAAATTTTTAGGAGGCTTCACAAATCTGAAATTGGAAAAATGAGGAAATACAATGCAAACATACACAGATTAAATGAACCCCAAAAAATGCACCCACAGTGATAGAAGAAGTCCACTTTGGGGGATGCACCCAGAGGTGAAAGAAGAGGGGTATTATGTAAGTGTCCTCGGTGCACATGGTGCTTTATATGTTGTCTTTTAGTTATCAGAACAACTGTCTAAAATAGATATCACTCACACTTTACAGAATAATAATATAGAGGCTGAGAGATTAATCAGGAAGGCGGCAGAACAATTATCTCTGCATAGTGACACCCCAATAAAGGTCTCCAGTCATTAAAGATGCAATGGAGGTTTTGAAAGCCTCCCAATGACTACAGAGTTACAGTAGCTAGCCAAACTCCAAATACAAATGGTATAAACAAAAGCAGTCCTTTATTGATGCTTTAGCCCATTCAGGCTGCTATAACAAAACACCATAGACTGGATGACTTAAACAATAAACATTTATTTCTCACAGTTATGGAAACCGGGAAGTCCAAGATAAAGGGTTCGGCAGATTCAATGTTGTTGAGGTCCCACTTCCTGGTTCAAATCACTATGTCCTTACATGGAGGAAGGGGTGAGGGAGCTCTCTGGGGCCTCTTTTATAAACGTGCTAAATCTCATTCATGAGGGTGAAACCGGTACAGCGTTAGCCATAGATGATTGGGTAGCTAGCAACTAGAGTTTTTTTTTTCCTTTTGTTGCAATTACCGATTATAGCTTTTTTAGTTGTTTACCTGCCCATTGTTAACTGTGCTGTTTAGGCAATATGCTATCTGACTCCCACTAGGTCCCTAAAGCTAACATCTCCCTGGCACCTAGGTCACCACGGTAATGGGTGTTTGAGCTGTTTTTCAGGAATTAGGACCCCCTTGTCCAGTTCAGGCCAGTTTAGACCAGCAACCCACCAACTGGGCCTGCACCAATGCCTGATAAGTGACCTTTTGACGTGAAGAGGCTAAAAACTCCACCCTCAGATCATGCTAACGCCACCATTT